GACAGTAGTGTTTCAGCACAGACTGGACTGGTGTCTTACCTTAGACCCGCCCTGAGTGAGCTGTCATCAGGCCGCCAACGTTTCACCTCTGGAGCAGATGTAGACAAGAATTACTCCTACGCGATTGAGGTGTTCTGTTGTTGGATGTAATAATGAACATAGCAGTCCTCATTTACTCCCAACATCTGAGCCGCTGAAGATGCAGTGGAATACTTCTGTCCTCCTGCTTCGCGTCGGCTGAATGCTCATTTGGAATTTGACATCATTATCGTCCCAGCGTGCCCTGTATTTGTGGCCGATTCTACCAGCTCCAATTAGGCTGAAGTCTAATTACTTTCATTTAGTATGGTATTAATTCAGAATTCACCTTCTCCCCACTCTCATTAGTTCTGGCACAATCTATCAGACAGTATAATTACAGCTGCCTGTTTGGAGTCTAGAAAAGGGTAGGAAAAGAACTAAACGTGCCCCTATGACATGACGATATTCATCGACTGACATATAAACATGATTTCTGTTGCTTTATAGTTCACTTCGGTTGTTTTATTTCCTTGGTTGACATTTATGTGGTTTTGGTAGTTTTACATCTGGGTTATAGGTGGTGTGAGCGAACGGTATAGCCCTTTAAGGAGTTGTTTGAGCGTTTGGTTTATTGTAGCCATATATGTCTGGCCTGTTTCATCAGACCTTGAGAACCGCCGCAGGTCATCAGACATCCAGGAGCTTTCCTGATGTCACACACAGATAGATGTACACTGCTCTATGACCCTTCAGGCTGTACAAGATATTGTCAAAGCGATCTTTCTGATATGTTGTTCTGTCTCTCTCTCTCTTTCTGAGGATAAAGTGAGTCACTGTTCTGTTGTGCACTTTGTTGAGTAAATCTGCACTTTTTTGTGTTTTTACATGAGCTGGGTTATTTTTATTACCTGTAAGGCATCTATGAACACCATCATCCATGGCTGTAGATCCGAGGAGGACATGTCCGCACGTCTACACCAACAATCAACAGCGCAAGATGCCCCTGGCCACCCCTTATTGACCCTCGATGTCCCAAAATCTCGTCTCCATACATTTAATTAAAGGCTATAATCTTATTAGTTTTGTCAGTTCGTCTGAACATGAACATTTGTGCATTTAGATTTTTTTTTCTTTGTCTATTTTTGTGGACATATTAATGTTTTTAGATTTGTGGAAATAATGTCTTTATTTTAACGGGACTGGTATTTATTACTATTATTATTATTCATGTGGTTATTCCACTAGATGTATATTTTAGCTTCAATACTTACTGAAACCTATATAGAGTAAAACTGAGTGAAATAATTACTTCAAATGTTGATTAAGATAGATAGATAGATAGATAGATAGAGAGAGAGAGAGAGAGAGAGAGAGAGAGTTTAGAATTGTGAAAAAAGCTCTTTTAACCATAAATCTGCTTTGTTTGTCATCGGTCACAACACAATTTTAAATAGCAGAGCTGATTTAGTATTTTATAAAATAAAATAACTTCCTTGGAACTATTTTCTTTGATCCCCATTGTGAATATCATCAGGCATATTAATAAAAACAAAAGTTTGTGTACATGAACTAATCTTCATACTGTGTGGTGACCCACAAAATAACAACAACATATAGGTTTTTTTTTTTTTACATTGTTGTGTTGCAGTAGAAGCATTTTACAAAAAGATAGATAGATAGATAGAGAGAGAGAGAGAGAGAGAGAGAGAGAGAGAGAGAGAATTTTTAATTTTGAAAAAAATACTTTACAATTATTTACATGAAACATGAAAAATTAACATTTATCTTTTAATACCACAAAAAAAAAAAAAAAAAAATCCAACAATTTTACATGTACCTTTTAACACTTGTCTATATTAGTAGAGGAGAGAAAAAAATAAGTCTCCATCAACAACAGAGCACAGAGCCTAATTTTTACACCATTTCATTTCAAATGTGATAAGATCCTCAATGGAACTGTAAAAATGAAAATCAATGAGTATTCTGGATTTAACTGTAGCTAAAAACATAGCATTAATATCTTGATCTGAACCCGGTTCTAGCTTATTTTTTCTACTCATATAGACTGCTAACTTTGCTTGACCTATAACAAAATTCAAACGTTGACAAATAAACCTCTTTTTCCTAACACATTTAAAACCAACAATAAATACGTCTATAGAAAAAGATTCATTAAAACTATAAAATACTTTTTTCTAATAGACTAAGCAAACTTTTCAGTCTGAAACAATCCATATAAGCATGCAAAACAGTTTCTCGCTATTCTGTAGTGACATCAGGATTTAAAACTGAAATAAAAGCATTAACTGCTATACTGCACCATGTAAAAGTCTCCATTGTATGTCCCCAACTCTTTTACATAAAGGTGGCTTATAAAATGATCTCCATTCTGGTATATCATCATCAGACAATTTTAAAACATTACCCCATGGTGTATCAACCCTCTTGTCAAGCACCTTTTTGTTAAAAACCAAAACACAAGCTCTATAAAGAGATTGAAAAATCTTTAAAAACATTAAGTACTTGAAAAAAAATTGAGACAGAGATTTTCCAGAATTTTAAAACATTCCTGAAACATCATCCAAAACAGGTAAAAGAAAAAAATCAGATAAAACATCTTTTTCATTAGGAACATTTTTACTTTCACAGTAATCTGATAAAAGTTTCAATTCATCAGAAGTGAGTCTTTTTTTTTTTCCATTTTTGTAGTAAATGAAAAACAAATCATCTTGACTTAACTTTCAAACTTAAAACAACTCTTTCCGTGTTCTCAAAATCTGGTCCAGTCAAGTGAACTAAACTCCCCATTGCACATATTTTGGAAGCCACAAGTTTTTCTGTAAGTCCAGGAATATTACAGTCATCATTTGTTAAATCAAAGCGTGCTCCAGCGGTTCTTCAAGGAGCCAGTAGAGACAGAAAATATTCTTCTCTTTGCACTTTGAACATATTCCACACTTCTGATAAAAATAGGCATCCCATTGAAATTCAGCTTTTGAGAAGTCAAAAAAAAAAGGTTTTTTTTTATAACTTTCTTACTATGTGTCAGTAAGTTGTTGTTATTTTAGCATGTGTGTTTGGCTCAGTGTTATTTTTTTAGGATTGTGTGTGTAGTATTTATAGAGTTTTAGCTTTAATTACTTTTTCTTATTTGTAAGTCGCTTTGGATAAAAGTGTCTGCTAAATGACTAAAAGTAAAAGTAAAGTAAAAAGAAGTCCATAAAAAAATTGTCCATTTTCAAATTTCCAAGTTTTTGTAATATATTACATGCAACTACTTTCCAGCTGGAAGTTACTGAACCATTAAGAAGTCTTTGCAAAAACTGTAAACGAAAAGCTGCTGTTCTAATCCTTGTCCTCCTTCTTCTTTGGCTAAAAACAATACACTCGGAGGAACCCAATGTAACTTATCCCAGAAAAAATCAACTAAAATGTCTTGAGTCTCTGCTAACAGACGCAGAGGAGGATCTATGCAGGTTAACTTATGCTACTAAATTGTTAATAACTAAGGTTCGACCTCTATATGACATATTTGGGATTAACCACTTCCATCTTTCAAGTCGACCTTTGACTTTTTCAAGGAGTCCTTCCCAATGTCTTTGTACCCAGAGAGAGAGAGAGAGAGAGGGGTGGTGTGGGAGGGAGTCCTGAGCAGAAGGGAGGAGGTCGATTCATATGACCCACTGACTGAAGTGGAAATGTGGGGACATACTGAGATTTTTTATTATTTGATAAGGGAGATTTTTGTGAGCAATTTACCTTATTAATGAAAGTGTTTGAACGTTGAAGAGTAAAGCCATTACACATACAGCAGGTTTACGGGTGTTATCTAATATAACCAGCAGGAGTCTCATGATCTCAAGCTGGCTGCTGCAGAAGTTTGGCTTGATGAAAGTTCAGAGCGCGGAAGTGAAGAAGAAACTTTCGCATGAATCTGTGCAAGAGAGCGACACTTTCCGCGTTTGAGTGTGAATACGGATTATAACGATGACACGGATGCGCCAGTGTTTCTGAGGAAATACCGAGTTGCATTGTTTTGTGAGGCTTTATTTCAGGTCTGATTATGGGGTTGCCGACTCTAGAGTTCAGTGACTCTTTTGTGGACAGTCCGGACTTTAGAGAGAGACTCAAATGTCACGAGATCGAGCTGGATCGAACGAACACGTTCATCAAAGAGCTGATTAAAGATGGACACCAGCTGATCTGCGCGCTCAAGAGTGAGTACACAACACATCAATACAATAACTCCCGCATCTCTAATATCACCGTGCATGTGGGCTGTAACTCAATGCCTAGTGTGCTGTCTACTTAGAAAGCATGTGGTCACTATAGGCGTGAGTGCGCGTGGGATGCTCAACAATGGTGACTAGGTAGGCGTCTCACTAGGTTTTTAGACACGGCCAACGTGATGAATAAGTATCCCAGTTTGTTTATTCTCCCCTGTGATCACGAATAGTAATTATAAAACATTCAAAACTCGTATTCGAAAATGTACTCTTATTTTCATAAACAGATGTCCCATTTTTAAATCCAAAAAAGACACAAAACCACTGATAAAATTACTGTATCTAACAATTAACAAGTAATCACATCAAACAGAATTATTTGTTATTATCTTTCTCTGCTGTATCAAAAAAATAATTTAATTGAGCAATGTGATATTTAAATTATTTTAAAACGTACTATTTAGCTTAACCCTGTTACTGAATGTTGTCCCTTCCATTTAAAATAAAGCATGACAGGAAGACTAGTAAGTAAATCATTACATTTGTGCACACATTTGTCAAGGTTTCTCAAGGTCAACTACATTCAATTCAGTTAACAAACACAAAATTACCAATGAAACATTTTTCTTTAGTTTATAAGAAATTTACTTAATTTTAAGTTGAATTGCAGTTATTTACAGTAAAAAAAATATATAAAAAGTGACGTGACGTGGCCAAGTATGGTTACCCATACTAGGAATTAGTGCTCTGCATTTAACCCATCCTTAGTGCACACACACAGCAGTGAACACACACACACCGTGAACACACACCCGGAGCAGTGGGCAGCCATTTATGCTGCGGCGCCCGGGGAGCAGTTGGGGGTTCGGTGCCTTGCTCAAGGGCACCTCAGTCGTGGTATTGAAGGTGGGAGAGAGCGCTGTACATTCACTCCCCCCACCTACAATCCCTGCCGGTACGAGACTCGAACCCGCAACCTTTGGGTTACGAGTCCGACTCTCTAACCATTAGGCCACGACTTCCCCAGTACGACCTTGTTACCCAGTCGAGCATACTGTAGAGCATTTTATCTAAAATTCCATAAGTTTAGTCAGTGTTCATAGCTTTGAACTTAATTTAAATTGAAACAGCACATCTTATATTGACAAACAAGATTCTAGCCTTAGTTTGCAGCCGTTTTGTGAAAGTGACATATTAACAAATGTTATTTCATTATAAATATGCTTGTCTGATCAGATAAGTTAATATACATCCAGTTATGTAATAAGATAGCCTAACTATAAAATTACAGAATTCCTTTTTTTTTTTTGCTGGTCGGGGTAGAGAGACAGAAAAGGAGAAGATACATTGTGAAATGTCAACATTTCTATTTCAGTTCATGTTTGAATGTTTGTGAGATAGTATCTTCTCAGAGGTTATCTGAAGTTCTAAATGGCGAATAGTTTACTGATCAAAGTTACAGATACATTGAGACTGTTGTGATTCTCAGTGTAGTCTGTCACTTAGAGGCCTTTGGTTTATTAGCTGCTTACACTGATCAGTGCTTTTCTTGAAAAAAGAATAATTTTATTCAGGTAATTTGTTGTATTCTTTTAGACCTGACTAGTATGCAGGATGCCAACGGCGCTCAGATGGTACATTTCCAACCTGATTTCATGGAAAAACATAGTGATTTCATCCAATGTGAATCGATTTTTACAAGAAAGTAAGCAGGTCCACTAACCTCACCCCTAAATCATAACTGGGATGAAAGCAGATCAAACGCATTCATACAAATCAGCCACCAATTTGCCAAAAGGTAAAATAGGAACTGCCATGAGATTGTGCTGGTATTTACAGTACATTCTTGAAATATGCAGCTGTGCTTGCATCCATGCATGCTTTTTCAGCTAGTATTTGTCTGCCAAATGCATGAATTTATATGCATTATACTGTGTGTGGAATGCTGGAATTGTGATTCTAGATGATTGTAGATGACAGTAATGAACCCCCCTCAAGGTTGCCCCCTGGATTATCTGATTCCCATGCCAAGGCCGTGAAAATGCTGTGGCTTCTTTTTTGTGTGTGTGTAATTGAGGCTTTCAATATTATGTGGCACCGCTGACCTTTAGACATAGAAACAAAAGATAACTTGTTTTTAGTGAATGCCACATTAGCTCTAAGATAACAGCAGACAACGGGAGAACTGTTTAATGTTGTTAAAGAAATAATTCACCCAACAATGAAAATTCTTTCATCATTGAATCACCCATGTCTTTCAAAACTTGTATTTTTTTATTCCTGTGCTTTTTTTTTATTTTACAGTGACTGTTTTAAAACTTAAAAGGGGACACAAAAGTGCCATAGAAGTAATATAAGTAATATAAGTGGTCAGTGTGACTTGTGGATTATATTCTAAATCCTCTGAAGCCATACGATAACTGTAGATGAGTTTGTTTCTTCATCTGATCAGATTTGGAGAAATGTAGCATTCCATTACTTGCTCACCAATGAATCCTCAGCTGTGAATGGGTGCCGTCAGAATGAGAGTCTAAACAACTAATTAGAAATATTACAATAATCTACAAGTAATCCACATGACTCCAGTCCATCAATTAACATCTTGTGAAGTAAAAAGCTGCATGTTTATAAGAAACAAATCCACCATTAAGACATTTTAACTTTAAGCCTTTACTTCTGGCCAAAATATGAGTCCATAAACCATAATAAATCATAATAACGCTTCCTCCAGTGAAAAAGCCCATCACCTGTTGTCCTCTCACATCAAAATCCATTGACATACTGTATTAATTTAGAATGGTTTGGGACTGTTTTTGCTTGTGAATGGCACTTGATCTGTACAAATGTTTTACTGGAGAAAGCAATCATTCATAAGTCAACTGCATGGAAAAGAGCAAATAAAAAGTATTAAAAATCTACCCTTTTGTGTTCCGTGGGAAAAGTCATAAGGATTTGGAAAAGCATGAAGGTGAGTAAATGATGACATGATTTTCACTTTCAGGTGAACTATTCCATACTTGTCTATTAAAGTTACTTTCATTGACACTCATAACATTCTCATGTCCTTTAGCTTACTTTGCATGGGACACAGACAAGACTACCTTGCAATTTAATACACACACAAAATAAAATAACATCAGTTTCAAAAATTGTACAAAGACTAATTGTCCTAAAAGGTCTGTTTCAAATAGGTCTATGATCCTCCTCTGTACTGTAAATGTGTTGCTTTAACCTTGCTTTCTACCCAGTAGGAAACTTTTAAAACTAGCATTTCCTTTTATCATTCAGAGACGCTTTTAAAATACTTCTCTCCAGTCAAATGAACCCAAATGAATAATACTGCATCTTTCACACTGTCACCGGGCGGCAGTGCAATTTTGTTCACTTCATTCAATGCTTCAGTGGAGTGCATGTTTTTGGAAAGGTCACATAATCCTGTGGTTAACGGCGGCACATAGTGAATCTGGGGTGGTCATTTTCTCTAGCTTTTTCTTAATGTAATATAATACTTTCTTTGTGCTTCTTTACCATATTTTCCCCTTCTTTGCAGTGGGACACAAATAATGTTTTTTTTTTTAAAGCAAGAAAATTACAATGTAATTGAAAAATATGCAGTTGTTACCTTCTGACCCTTGAAATATACATTTATAAGTACTTCATGGGTTGAAATGTACAATATGAATGTATGGATATAGTTTCTTATTATTTATATAGATATATTTTAGATATCTAACTCTATCCCCAAACCTAAGTATAACCATTTTCAATAGTATACAAACAAAAAAATACAGTTTTTTTTTAAATTAAAAATATAAAGACAAACATAACACATATATAAGTTTAATTACAAAAATATATTCAAAAAATTATCATGATCATGTTATGGTGCATTTGTGCTGTACTTAAGGGATATGTCTTCACAGCATATTCAGCATTTTTTTTTTGTCATTTTTTTATTAGCAGCATATTCAGAAAACGTAATGAATAGTTAATACTTAATGGATAAATTATTACAGAAATTTGATTCATTTTGGAGTTTTAAAGTGGTCTTGTTTAAGATAATATAATCTGGCACCAGAAGCCACAGAACAGAATGAAATGTTATAATTTCAAATAAAGTAAACGTACCAGCTGCTCAATTTTAATAAATGCAATCAAAAGCATAACTGATTAATGCTATTAATTAGATATTCATAGATTAAATAAAAATTTGTAAATTTTTATCTCAAAAGTTGTTTACATGTCAATTATTTATGCTTCAGATGCTGTCAATACATTAATATTGTATGTTTTAGTGTCTATGCAAATGTAGGTAAGTGTATAGTACAACCACATTTTACATAAAATACATACAAATACTCTGTGGCATAAGTTGCATACTAGACGCTGTTCCTGGTTAGTTTTTGTTTTTGTTTTTTTGCTTTTGCATTGTTTTTAATACCTGGCAGAAACATACATGCTGACAGTATGTCACACTGAGTCACAATTAGTGGTCGACCGATATATCGCCAAGGCCTATATATCGGCCGATATTTAGCATTTTTCAAATATTGGCATCTGCCGATAAGTTTTTCTGTTTGTAGGCTATACAAAAAAGTATTATAACGATTGCTTTAATATTATTAGTAATAGAAAGGCAAACATTATACTTTCTCATTTGCCGTCAGCATTCAGCAAATACCCATTTATATAATTTAAAAAAATCTTTGAATGACTAATGAACATTTAATTTCACAAACCTTGCAAACTTAGTTACCGTCCATATACCCAAATCTGCGGTTTACTTGATTAATGCATGTTGTACATTTAATTGTTAGTGTTTGATCAGTGCACATGTGAATCCAAGCAATAATTGTTTATGTTAGAAACTAGCCATCATACATTGCAGCTGATATGTAACAAACCAGTCTAGCTCTGCTTCAGAGTTTCTCACCCAGCAATGGAAGTTTGAAACGAACCACAGCTCTTCTGCAAACATGATTAGTCCCATC